TATATATATACACATATATAAAAGAATATATTACTTAACTGCACAAAAGCATCACTAATATCCTCTTTACAATTTTAATATGTATATCATTAATATTTAAATTGAAAAAATAATAAAAAGACTACTGAAGGTCGCAAACAATGTGCAAAGATTGTAAGAAAACATTGCGAATTATTAGAGGCGCTGACTTTTAATTGCTTTCATTAATCCTTTTATTGTTTTTTTAATTTCGAGAGTACTTATTTTTATTTTATCAAAATTAAATAATTATTAAATTTTAATCTTTACCGTAATACTAGAATGCCATTTATAAAAGACGTTCATTGATATAATTGTAAATATTTATTGATGCATTATATTATTTACTATAAAAAATCATATGTCAAATCGCTGAGATCACATTACGACTATGAGACGTTACCTTTGATTTTCTTGAGCAAACTTTTCTGAATCTTCTGAAATGTATGGAAATATTGCATTGAGTTACTTGTGATGTATTATAAAGACGCGGTATTCAAGATGTTTATGAATTGCAAGAGACAAACTCTTGTAGAGATTTTATTTAAATTTTGGTTGATTACTAAATGTCTCTTACCAGCGTGTAGCTTGTTTTCTTCTTTTTTAGTCCAAAAAACGCTTCTACGATTTTTCCATTGACAAAGCATCGTTATTGCTTTCGGATCGGCGGTTCCGCACTGCTGCACAAGATGGATATATTGATCGATGATTTCTTGCCCTGTTAAAAAAAATGAAGGCATTTTAAATATGTCTCATATTACAGTTTACATATTGAAGAAGTGTATAACTAGCCTTTCGAAACTCCGGCAAGGGCTCGCGCCTTATTAGCATCGTTGTATAAACCGAGTTTGTTATACAATTCAAAGGATTTTTCCAAATGAAAGGTTGCAATATCTAGCTTCCTCTAAAAAGAATACAGACTTGTTTTTACATTGTTAACTCTCCAAGGAAATATTCTATTAATATTTTACGACACTGATCAGGTATCACTTAGCGCATATGTAATAATTTGTATATATTTAAGGTAGATATATTGGCCCGTATTCAGAACGCGCTTTTATCGATAAATGTGCATTTTTATTTCTGAAATTCCAAGCAAGTCTGTATGTAATGTGAAATGTATATGCTAAATAGGCGCTATCGTTACAAACGCGTTCTGCTGGACCATTTTGTACAACATAAGAATTCAGGAAAATGTAATAATTTCTCACATAAGATATTCCTCAATAATCTTGTCATTTTTATCCCCTCCCCCTTTTTTGTTATCCAAAATAATTTTTTATTCCATACCTTACTCAAAAAATGCTTGCCAGTGCAGTAGTGTGCCTGTGCCACTTTTCTCATGAGCCCATACTCGACTGCACTTTCCATAAATAAATGGAGATACTTTTCCGTATTTTTATCGTCGTTCAATTCCTACAAATGTGAATCACTCGTAAGAACTATGTCAAAAATTCGCGTTTTTTTTTTTTTTTCGAAATTAAGATCGCATAATAAATGCGTGCGATGGTAAAATATAGATGAAAAATTTTTGGAATTTTTTAATTTGACGTTCTCCACCTTAATCATTCTATCGTGACACATAACTTGTACGCAAGTGCTATTGTCATTTGCGCGTTGCATATTCCCTCCGGGTCCGAGATTCTTTTAATCATCGCCAGGAATTTGGACAAATTTTGGAAGGCAAGTTCCACGTCGCCTAATCGCAACTGATTCATTCCCAGCTCGTATAGAACGTTCGCTATGTATTCGTATTGTCCAGCTGCGGATGTGAGACTGATTAATGGTATCATAGGACGAGATTTTTTTTTAATAATTTCAAGAAAACTGAATTTTATTGATAAAGAGAGACGAATTGATGCAGTGAAAATTGAATTTAACGATCTTCGAGAACTTGAAATAACATTTCAACAAAATATCCTGAAGTGATATAACTCTTTCAATAGGCAAATATTTTACTATTCCTCTTTTTTTTTTTAAATAAAAAACAGCTTACAATCCTCCGCTCGAGTGAGAGCTTCGATGCATGCTTTCACAGCGACGTCCGGTTGATCGCAGCCGACTTGTTGTGCTTGCATCAGTAACACTTTGTACAGAAGTACGTTGCATTCTCGATGGATGGTCCTTTCTTTTCGACCAGTTATCTTCGACACATTCCATGACTTATTCTGAGACGCTTCATATGCGATATTTAAGTGATATAGTGATCCTGCCATATCTTGTACTGATTGCACCACGCGAATGTAATTGTATTTATATTAATTTATAATACTGACTTATAATGATCGGCTACGTTTGATAGAAAAAGTAACTTAATGAGCGCTTTACGTTAATATTATATTGTACTTTTAGATCTGAAATGAGATATACAGAATTATTTTTATCGATATAATTATCAATAAAAATATTCAATTATAGTGCCTGAGTTGCTTTTTCTGTTTAACATAGCTATTCATTTATAATCTATTGCAAATATACCACGTATGTAAATATTTTATTAATAATAAATATTCAACTGCATATTGAAACGGTAGTATACTAATTGCGGAAAAAAACTGAAAACGCTCTGGCTATGTATGCAGAAAGGTAACAGGAAGTCGTGACTTGCCGGATCCGTCCATCTGCTAATTTGCATGTATAATGTGTGTTTCGCTAACTTTGTTCGAACAGAAATCGGCCGTACAGGTAATGTATGAAGGTGCTCGTCTGATGGTTATCATCTTCGACCAATTCAGCGTTCTCCAGAGCGCTACGGTAAAGCTGCTCCGCCACCCACCACCATTCCCAAGTCATTGCTTGAAAGGATAGCGCCATTTTTAAAAATTCTGCAGCCGTAGAAATATAGTCTCCTATTCAGAAAATGTTTAACCGTAATATTCGTACTTGTACTTTGTACATCGTACGTCTCAAATGTCAAAGATCAATGATATAGGAATTATCATATACGATTGTGGTACCTCAATTGTTATTGAGAACAATGGTTTCGATCTTGTATTTCGCAAATGAATATTAATGATTATATTCAGAAAAGAAATTTTATTATTGAAATATTTAAAAATTTAGCCGGATGTAGATCTGAAAACAATTTCGTTCAATCATCAAAATAATTACATATGTAGAAAAGTCAAGCATGAGCAATGTTGTAAAAAAAATTTTTATATTCTAGTAATTAACTTGAGCATTTTCCAACAAACATTATTGTTTAAATTACTCAAAAAATTATTTCCAAAATTATGTCATTTATAGTTGATTATTTTTGTATCTGTATATCTAACTAAATTTTTTAATATTTCAATAAATCGTTCTTTCCGTATATACATCAATTTTCTTTCCCACCAGCATTTTTGGCTTGCTCGACAGTGATCAAGCCATCCCTTAAGCGCGACATCGCGTTCTTGTTCTTTTTTAAGCGCGGCTTCACCCATATTGGAGTACCAGGACCAGCCTTTCTACGAATCTCCTCGTCGAGTTCGAATAATTCTTTCAAATATCGGATCGATTTCTCATAATAGCCTTCTTTGAGCTCGTCAATGATCGCTTCGTGAGGTAGCAAATGGAATCTACTTGAAGATAGAGCAATATTGATTATAAAAGAACAAGTTTGATGGAACATTTATATTTTATTTACAATTCGGATAAAAAGAAGGAAAGAATAATTGAGGCAAATGACGGTATAAATAAGCGTCGCGACGAGGCACCTCAAAAAACGGAAGAAAATTGAGGGAAAAATAGAGGAGGTAATTATTCAGTTCAGCCCACCTTCGATCTCAATATTAATAAAATCATTCTTATAATAATTACTATTATAATTTCTATAATTGTATTAATTATGCATTAATTATACTATTCGATGCGTTTTTATGTAAAACGAAAGAATCTGGTAAGGGAAAAAAAGGTCGTTTTGAAAGAGAGAGGATGTTTTTTATTCCAAAAAAATAAAGCGACCTTCTTACTTCTGAAGGCGTTAATATCGGAAGCATCGCCTTCAGTTCGTCCTTAATCTTCCCCATTTCCCTTAATCGGACTCCCGCGAGAGTTTTGATCGTTGTTGCTTCTGCAATTTCGGGATTGGCTTTTGATAATTTTTCGGGAAAGCCCTTTCGAGTCTGTCTCACGACCGTTTCTAAGTCACGTCTTTGCACATCTTTGAGGCCTTTCATTTCATCTCCCCCAGTCGCGTGATCGGGAACGAGGAATAGTCGGTTCTCAGGTTTTGCAGCTTGATAAGTGCCACAATTTATTGCACGAGATAAATATCAACGTAACCGATAAATGTATGTTATACAACGATAGGATCAGTAATATACAACATGTACACGTAACTTCGTAGCGTTTGTTTTACGCTCGTGCGCGTACGAGATGCGATTCCTCGAAAAGGCGACCGCGAGATCGAGGCTCGAAATTCTCGCGGCTCGCCTCCTCATCTCTTTGCTTCTAAATCCTCTACCCAACTACGCTATAAAGAGATACTGCTTTAAGCGGTGGCTGCTGCCTGCTTTCTCGGTATCAATTTGATCTTGAAACCCTCCGCGCGCTTGAGGATGATGTCGGCCTGAAGCCTAAAATCGGATTCTTTGATGTCTGACTTAACGCGGTAGTTCCTCATGATCGTAGATAGGATGATCTTCAGCTTCAGCATGGCGTATTTGCGACCCACGCAGGAACGCGGTCCAGCCGAGAACGGCACAAAGGCGTAATAATGCCGATTGGCAGTCTTTTCTGGTAGGAAGTTATCGGGGTTGAAAACATCCGGATTCGGATAGATGTGTGGCTGCCGGTGCATCTTGAAGGTCGTTACTATCACTGTGCTCCCAGCTGGGATCGTATAGTCTCCCGTTGCTGAAATTGGCAATCGTATAATTTTTTTAGAAGTATAATAAATTATTTGATCAAAGAGGTCGATAATGCACACTTCATCTTGTATTCTTTTCATGCAGACATTCCAGTTTTAAGAACTCACCCAATTTTAAGTCTGTTTTGATGGTACGCGCGATGATGGGAACAGGTGGGTACATGCGAAGAGTCTCCATGAGGCATCGCTCGAGGTATTTCATCTCCAGTGTGTCCTGGAAGGTCGCAGGTCTGTCGCTGTCGCCAAAAATTTCATCGAGTTCCTGGATAACTTTTTCTTGAATGTCTGGGTGACAGCCCATCATCGACAAGAAGAAGCTGGATGCAGCCGCGGTCGTGTCATGTCCCTACGAAAATGAATGACAGAACAGACGGCTTATTAATTAGAATTTGATCTTCTCAAAGTAGTCAGGCTACTTTATTTATATTTACTATATTTATAGTATAATATATTTATATATTATTTTAGTATTACTTTATTTATTATTATTATACTTTATTTATTATTATAGTATTACTATATTTATTATTATATTTATTATTTTAGGCGTAATATTTATAGTCTGTTCTTATTTCAAGATCATCTTGAAAATCTCAAATCATATCTTGAGATTATAATGCGTCTCTCTAATTGATTTATGATATCTTAAGTCAGTCTTAAATATTAGAATTGACTATGAATATCAGCCTTAGTCATATTTCGCGACACCTACCTCGAACATAATAGTGTCGACCTGTTCCTTGACTTCTTCATCTGTCAGCACGGTACCGTTCTGACCGGCCTCCATCAACAAATCGAGGAAAGCTTGCCTCTTCTTCTCACCAACATCATTATCTTCTACATCGAGGTCATCTTTTAGACCATCCGCCTGTCCGAAGGAAAGTCCTTCCACGGATGTGCTCTAAGGACAATATATTATGTGTTAATAGTCCATCGCTCAATGTAGCTTTTTCTGAAAATTATCCAACTTGAAAATTATTTACTTTAGTGGTCTTGTCGTTGCTATTTTGCGTAGACTCTTCAATGATATTGCGTTTGCCGTTCTTGAATTCCTGCTTCTTGCGTGCGATAACTTTCTTTGTGAGTCCGTGGATGATCTCTAACAAACGGATTTGATCTTTTCCGTATTTCGTGAGATTGAACAGCCAGTCCGGTCTGAGCCAGACTTTCGTGTGACGCAGATGGAGAATATCGCACATCCTACAAAACGATAAGACAAACGAGATATCCATCTTATATATTTCTTCAACATGAAAATATTTAAATATTTCAAGGAATAAAAATTGCATAAAAATTTTGCAACATGGAAACTTGTTGATAATGTTCTTTTACAAATCTAAATATTTCTAAGAAAAAGAAAATTCCAAGATCTTATAAATTCGAAGTACAATATTTTAGCTACGAGAAAAAGTCAGACCTAGCTGAGAACATGTTGATCAGAGAATTTCCAATTAAAATCGAATTAAAAATAAACTGAATATAAAACAACTTCCGATGTCTTTCTTTTTTGTCTCTATTTCCAAATTCATCAAATCTAAAATTTGCGTATTGGATACTTGCTTCATAACAGCCATGGCATATTCGAAGCCGCTTCGGTCTTGCGTGGACTTGGAGACACCCATAGCAGTCTCGAGAAGGATCTCGACGGTGCACTCGGACATGTAGTCGTGGCAATCGAATTCCTTGTTGCCTTCCTTACGCATTCGTTCCACCACCGCACGCGAATTGGCGTTAAAGAGATCGATGAAACTCTTAAGTACGTTTAAGTGAAACGTCGGCGCGATTAATTTGCGATGAGCGCGCCATTTTGAACCTGTAATAGATCACTTATTATCAATTTGTTCTTTATAAATAACAAAATTCCCCATTTCTTTGCTGCGATCGAATCTGATGTGATTCATCCTGAATATTTTCAGTAAATTGTCATGATACGAGACGAATTAGAATATATTATTGATCCAGAAGTAATCACTTAATTTTTTTTTTATATATAAACGATTACCTATATGGTATTTTTATAATACTAAAAATTACATTTAATTAATAATTTTCGTTTCTAATTATATTACGTGCAATCTTTTATTATACTTGTTATAATATAAAAATTCTATTGTGACGAACACATGTGATAAAATATACAAAAATTGGGCAGACAATATGTATTAACTAATGTGTTATATCAGTGATATTAACAGTGGAACAAAATCAGAAAAGAAGAAAGAAAAAGTGTTATATATTTCATGGAGGTGTATGTAAATTTAACGTAAATTTCCACCCCCTCCCCTCCCTGTTGTATTCGGTGCCCGTGTTTGAAGACTTTCTATCGAACACACGGAAGTAGGAAGAAGAATGAGCGAGGGAGAAAGAGTCAGGGAATGAGAGAAAGAGCAAGATAATACATTACAACGCGTGGGAGAGACAGAAGATTTATACTTTATGACTGTATAAATACTGGAGTATACTTTATACTTGAACTAAATAAAAATAGACACTCAGAAAGAACGTTTTTGCTGAAGTATCTAAAAATTCAGCCGGATCTGAAAATAATATCGTTGGATTCAAAATAATAACATAGAAATCTCAAACGTGATGAGCAATGTTGCAAAAAGTTTTGACATTTCAGTCATTTCAATCAGTTTGAGAGTTTTCACATAATTATTCTGTGATAATCCAACAAAATTATTTTCCGATCTGTTGTATCTAATTAAATTTAAAAATTTTTTGTTTCAACAAAAACTGTCCTTTCTGTGAATATATTTGAAGTTTGGCGAAAGCAAGATAGAAAGTGCAGTCCAGTGCAGCGACAAAGAACAAACCCGGAGAGACAGAGATCGTCGTAATTGTGCAACGAGAGGAAAGACTGCGATGCGCGCATATGTGCGCGGGGAAACGGAGCTAGGGAGAGAAAGCACCGGCGCGCGTGCAAATTTCCTTCCTGTTTTGCGTCCCGTGGATTACTCGGACTGATTGCATTTCACTCTCCATCCCTCTCTCCCCCGCGTTGCTCTTTCTAAATGCAAGTGCGTTGTCTCGTGCGACACATGCCACGCGCATAGGCGTCGAGACTCTCCAGATATTAGAACACAAGACATTAGAACAGATATTGGAACACAAAATCGTAATAAGATTAAGTTAACATTAAGTTAAAAATTCATTTCATAAAAAATTCTAATGAATATCATTCAACTTTGTGATAAATTAATGAATTTTTACATGATAATAATGTTTAATTAAAAAATTATTATCATGTCAATAAGTGATGTTTTATTTAAAAATTATTTCTCGTGTTATATACCAGAATGCATCGCGAGATGCTTGTATTTGATTGTTATGTAAAAAAATACGAACAAAAATCTGTTGATCTTAAAGTTACGGTTGTCAATATGATATGTGTGTGCTATTCAAAAGATTTTTTATCATTACAAGTCATAAATGAATATGATATGCTATCCAAGGATTCTTTATCATTACATCACAAATAAAAAACCTATCAATATTCGTAAGCTGACATTCATTCCTTTTCTTATTTTAAAATCATCTTACGTAAACAACATTAAGCTTATAAATAGTTCATTTAAATAAATTACCTAGATATAAAGATCGAGTTAATATTTTTTGCAATCAATTCTTTACAGATTTTCAGATGCTAATAGCATCGAATCAAAAATCTTTTTTTTTTTTTATTAAATTTGAGGAAATTAATATTTCACATTGATTGTATAAAAGACCGAAAATAATCAGTGCGCAGTCATTTCTGAAATAAATTTATTTAAAAATACATATACGTGTTAGTCTAACAATAACTTTGACTTTATATTGACGCTTTTTTTGTCTTAAGTAATTTTAAGATGCTAATATAATTTTTATAATAGGTTTATGATTGTATTTAAGATATATTTTAATATATTGTATTTAAAATGATCTTAAATATTAAAAAAAAAAACTATAAATATCGATCGAAATCTGTTCTTACTGCAAGTTTAAATAATTATTTCAAGTAATATCTTAGGATGTTAATATTGTTCTGTAATTGGTTTATGATATTTTATTTTGGCAATGGTTTATTTACTTTATGTACATTTTTAAGATTGTACTTTAGACGGTTTTAAATATATAAGCGCATGTAAAAATTTAATTAAATACAAATCTGAAAATAATTTTGATGGACCATCAAAATAATTCCAATAAACTCAAGCCTAACATTGTAAAAGTTTTGACATTTATGAGATACTTCATTTATGAGATATTAAAATTTGTGAGATATGTTTATTTTACTGCAAAAAAATTCTTATTTAAGTAAAGTACGAAATTAAAATTTATTCGTAGCAAAA